TAAAAAATTTCATAGTTCTAGACTTCCCCCCGCCCCCAAATTACAGAACCTAGCCATTGAGATTCAGTGTTTTTACTATTTTTGGGGTGCTTTGAGATTGACATGGGGGTCTGGGAGATCCCATTAAAAGTGTGCCCACTGTAGTGTATTGTCTTGCAGCCAAAAAAAAATATAAAAAAATAGTGTTGGCTGGGGAGCAGAAATTATGTAACACCAAGAATATATAAATCCTGAAGCTCAGTTTACTTAGGATTTGTAAATGGTGTATCTAAAGGGAGGGGAAAGAAAATGTAAGAGATAGGAAGGAGAATCATGTGAATTGTTAGAGCACAAAGCAGACTTGGAACATGAAAGAGTGAAACACCATGCCAAAGTAATTAGATGATATAAGCATAAGGCAGGAAAGTTAGCCAGCACTTATCTCCATTTATAAATAATGCTTCTGGACACTTCTTCCCATCCCCATTTAGAGACGAATATTCTGCTGTAAACCAGACCTGCCCTAAACATCTGAGTCTCACTTACCCTGGATTAACCTAATGGTTCTCTGCAGGATGTGACGAGGTCAGAGCAACACAGTATTATCTCCCTGTTTTGAGTACATCAGGTGTCGGTACTCTGGGGTTGCACTTTTTGATAAAGGTTCTAAAGAGAATATTAGGAAGACATGAATCCTGGTTAGTTCCCTCTCATGAAGGAGACTAATCCTGCTGAAGTGAACTTGAAATCTGTTTTTACTCAACTGTAGCAGAATAGACCCTCCAAATGTGAAATAGGAGTTTGAACAAATGAGCCTCATTGACTCTGAGATTTTCAAAGCTGACATGGGCTCTGGGTGCCTTATAGGCAGTCAATGATAAGGGGAAGGGGTTGTCTGTGGTCCTTACAGGGCTTTGAAAATGTCTGCTGTGGTGTTTTTTCTTGCCAGAAATCACTTGTATTCGATGCAACTTTTCAGCATGGTTCAGTATTTTATTTTGCAGACAAAGTAGGTGGTTTGATTTTTTTTTTCCTAATGAATGAATGCCACTGACATGATTTATTTCAGAGATTCCCATATTTTGTTGAGGTGATTGCTTGCTGGGGATGTAGCCAGTTAACCTACGTACAAATTGTCTTAAGAAGGTGCTTAGGGTGCTTTGTTTTCCAATGTAGGCGCCTAAACTGAGGTGGGAGGAATGATGAATAAAGTCTATGCAAACTTTGCCTCATATTATGCAGAAATGGAGCCATGACCCTGGAATAATTTCTTGCCATGGTATTACCAAAGTGTAATATCCTGTAGATGTAGAAGAGAGTTGAAACTATCATCAAAAAGTACATGACAAAATATCAGCTCCGTACAACAGTCCTATTCAACCTTTTCTTCAGTTTCTTCATTCAGCAGTTGAGGATTATCCTGACAATCTGACTGAGTTTTAATTTAAAGTAATATTGGTGTTTAAAACCACAATGAGCTCTGCTAAAAACCAAATAATTAGAAGATTAAGATAAGAATCTCAGCAGCATTTCATTAAGAAAGGCCTAATGCAAAGAATTGTTTTTTTAGAATGGCTGTGATAAAACCATATTATATATATAAATATTTGTCTTGATTTGAAGACTAGAAAAAACACAGTAATATTGCGTGTCTGGAAAATAATAGCATTTATTTAGGATGCAACTTTTTAGGCAGATACTACTAAAAATCTCATTCTCTTAGTTGCAAATAATAACAAGCTAGAAGCTGTTGCTTTTTCACTTGACCTTTAGATATTACCTTGTCATCGTTTCACATCTTATTTTAAAAAAAAGAGTAACTTATAATGATAAAGAAGTAGGATTTATTCTGTATCTCTTTTTGAAGGAAACATACAACTTGAATTGTGTACCTCAGGCACTTATTTTCCTTATTTTTCTTCTCTGCCAATGTTCTTTTTGATTGCTTGAATGCCATATGGTATTATGGCCCTTTTAACTTTTATATGACTATCACCTGCAGGCAGTTGCATCTGAGCTCCTGATCCCTGACCACAGCTTCTCCTAAACCTCTGTGAAGCATCAAAAAGATTTAACAAAAGGCCAAAGAAATGAATGATTTTTTGTTGTTGTTAAAGGATCTTAGTTGACTGTCCAGGTTATCACTGCACTCATAAATGAAAAATGTATTTATTGGGTTTTGTCTAGTCTCCTGAGCTAGTGCTCCTTACACAGTAACAAATGTCCCCTGGCTCAGACCACCGTGGTAGGCTTTCAGTTGGAGATCATTGATTCCAGCAACTCTCTCAGGTTCGATAATCTCAGTTCAGCTGTAGTCATTTTCTTTATTTTGTTATATCCAGCAGCACATACTGCACCGTTGTGCTTTTCAAGTTGAACTCAACATGAACTCAGGGGTGATATCCTGCTTCTTCAGGGTGGAATTCTATTTGAAATAGTGATATTCTAGTAAATGTGAATTATTAACCATGTTGGGACTTTGAAAGCTAATGTTCAATTTTTTTTAATTTCCTGCATTCTTCAGTCATTAATGAAAGAGAATGCAAGCTCTATGAACATTACAATTTGTCATGACACTATAACATTGAGCATTTTTGGTTGACGACCTGCCAACTTTGTGCCACTGAGCAGGCTCAGGTTGAAGTGGTATCTTAGCAATGCTTGTTTGGTAAAACTATCTGAGAACAGCATAACCACAACAGTGTTTAATTATCACATACTGGGTGTATCCAGTTCTTAGTTCAGAATTATTGCTCCATAGCTCAGCTTCAAGCACGATTTGGTCATGGCTCGGTGTGATCAGAGATGTCCCTCACCTCCCTGGGGCTGTTCTCTGGCATCCCTGCTCTGTTGTCTTAGCTGTCAAAGGATCAAAGTCCATACAACTGCAGCTCTTTGTAACTCCTGGACTTGGGCTTATATTTGGGTCTGTCTTTTACTGAGAACACCCCCCATGAGAGGTGTTTTGAAATGCAATGACTAACAAGTACAGACAATTTGGGATGACTGTTGAAAGCATTAGCTAGAGCTGCCTGTCACGCTCATGCTGCTGTTTGAGCCACTTGTCTGTTCCTTCCGTAAGGTAGTGCATGCCATTTTAAGGCATGCCATCATCCTGTTTGTTTTGCATCAAAACATATGTCTTAAAATGCTCTAGGAACTACAGCAGTTCACAATCTGCATATCTAGCAGCTCAGACACCTGTGTGGTGAGATCAGGATGGAGTTTGTGTTCGTTGGGTCACCACTTGAGCGCTTGGTGCCACTGTTGCTGGCTTGCCTCCTCATCACCCAAGCCTTCTTTGAGAATGATCATTTTTCAAAGTCTGAATGTCCTGAAGATGGTTGCACTGAATGGAAAATTCGATGCTAATAAAATATAAAAATATGCTTTTAAAATACTTTCCTGTTGTATTTAATGTTGGAACTTCCAATGCTGGAGTAGAAATGAAAATAGATATATTACTCCTACCCTAATCCTTCCATATATTACAAGGATTCTGTTGCTTTTTCCACTTGGTCTTGGATTGTATTATAAAACTATCTTAGCAAGGTACCACAATAAAACACTGTCCAGCTTACAATAATCTCTTTCTCAGTACTATTTAAGATTTTCTCTGATGTACTGAATTTTGAGGAGAATACAACTGGATAATACTGGTGATGTTTCATTCTTCATTTTCTAAAAGAAACAGAAGAGAAAGGAGGCCAAATAATTATTTTGTCTTGTGTATTGAGAGAAATATTTATTTTTAAATGAGAGGCTGTCATGTGTGACTTTCTGCTTTGTATTATCAGAAGCACTGAAACATTTCCCTGGCTATTCCTTTACAAAGCAGTTTTGGTTTTTTGTTTAGACCATTAGAATGGCTGATTTGAGATTCGTCTTGGCTGATATTATTTCCATTTTAATGCTATATGTCAAAGCAAGTGTCTCAGCTTGCATGTTATAAACCCTTGAGCATGTCCTTGGCAAACCAGGTATTTCAAGAAACCAAAGCACTGTCACACTGAGCAGTTTTGTGTAGTTAATGACAATTCTTTCTTTGCTTCATCTTCTGAACCTTCACCAGACAGCAAATATAAATAAGGGTCTTAACTGGCGTTTATAATGTGGTGGTGACCAAAGATAAGAGAGAGAGAGGTGGCTTTCTTAGTCCATCTTGTGTGTGCCTGGTGATCTGTGTGCAATGTGAAGTACACACTTAAATGGAAGAGACTTCACAAAACTTGTGTTACTTATTCCATAAAGTGATTGGAAAAGATCCCTGTGGTTTTAATTCTTCTGATTTAATGGGTCATTATCCTGACAATTTCTTTGATATTCCTAATATTGCACTGTTTTCTCTGGAGAAACATAAAACCAGTCATGTCCATGAGTATTTTCTCTTTCAAAGCATGCTTACTACAATGGATGAAAACCTGCTCCCTATTGCAATTACTGTCATAGTTTTAAGTAGTTTGGTTCCATATATTGTGGGCAAAGACATCTTTTCCAACCTAAAATTTCTAAAATTTGAGCTTGTAAAATGGCTGAGGTCTTTATTTCAATGTCAAAAATTAACAGTCTACATGAACTTCAGCCCACGGTAATTCCTCCAGAGGAAAAAAAAAAAAAAGTAAACGTACAACAAAGCATACTATAATGTAGTTATCTAAGATTAAATTGGACAACACCTTTTGTATCAGCCTCACTGAATTAAAGCCAGTGGTTGAGAATATTCACGGCACATAGACAGGATAGTGTTAATGTGTCTGTGTAAGCAATACTGTACATCTATCTGTCTGGATATATGATCATGAGCTGAAGATTGTTTATTGTCAAAGGCTGAGTGGCTAATAAATGCTGGCAATGGCTTAGATTCACTGGAATGCTGCACAGCTGCAGCATTAGTCAGACTTTCCCTTTTCTGAATTCTGTAATCCCTTCAATATTGCATTAAATATGTTTTCAATATTTATCTGGATAAAAATGTGCTGAATATTGCAACTGTTTAATTCTGATGTTTGTCACGTAGGGAATCTGTGTAAGGCAGAAGGTAACAACGCTTTTATTGCTCAAACCTGAGGCGGCAGCTTGCGTCGTTTGCCCGTTCGGAGACTTGTGCTCAGGCTATTTACAGCACTTGGTAAGTCTTTGCGATCGCTCGGAGGCAGAGGCATGTCAGAATTTCTGAAGCCAAATTTCAGGCCTTAGTGCTTGGCTGAACTCACTGAACTGACCCGTCACCCTACACAAGAATCAGAGTTCCTATAGATTTTGGTGTCAGTAGAATTTAGCGGATGGATTTTGAATTTGATATACTTCACAGGCCAAATATTTGACAAGCCAGGAGTTGGAGTGGTTTATTAATATGTCACTATTTTTTTATTAGTTTTCCTAAATGATCAGCCGGTCTATTGTTAGCTGATCTATTGTCTCTCTCCCAACTTTTTTTTAAACAATTTTTATCTATGAACCAGATTATTTGGATAACAGTGATTGCAATTAATGATGTGGGAGCAGGGAAATGTGCTCCCCTTATGTTGTGGGTTCAGAATTAAGACAGGGAATCCAAACACATGCAATTCAAGTTAACCACATGGTCTAATGCAGTCCTGGCGATGCTAAAGCTCACTGTGTCCATGTGTTTCCATCAGCAATTACTTTCCCAGCTGCTGTTGAAAAAAAGGAAATCACACCAAATGGAATGGATTGTAGGCACCAAAGATAACCCGTTGCTGCTTGGGATAATTGCTCTAGACTTTAGCCTGACCTGGAAACAAGTGGGCTGTAGGCATTAGGAATAGAGAAGTTCATTAAAAAATCATATTCAAATTCAAAGTATTTTTCATACTTTTTTTGCCCAGCTGTATTAGTAATAGCTTGATCAGACTTAAGCAAACAGCCTATTGAATCCATTAGCTGTAGGTCACTGATTCAAGCAGATTAACAGTAGCAGAAATATGCAGTAAGAGAAGGATGAATTACGGGTGTCTAACTACTTCTGGTGTTCGCTTTGCAGTTAAAGCTAATTTCAGTCGCTTATTGGCAGTCACAGTGGCACCGACAGGTGAGTGGGTCATGGAGACTAAACCATGCATTCATCCTGAAGTGGTCCCTTAAGGAAGAAGTGGGAGAGTGTTGGGGAAGCTTGAGTGAAAGTTTTTCCCATTCTATGGAAATGTAGAAAGCTTTAGGAACCAAAACTGTTGACACCTTCTGGGGCGTAAAAAATCCCATGTTTGACTGAAATGTTGGAAGCATACGTTGAAAACAAGGAGCCTAGCATTAAGTTGAAATTACTACTAATAATCTGGAAGACAAACTTGCATTGCTTTGTCACATTATCTCTTTATGATAAAGCCTTTTCATCTAGTCTCTTGAAAGTGACTCATTGGCAAAATATTTTAAGCAATTCAAATAAACAGAAGCACTGAATACTAGTTTCTTTGTTCACGAAGAAACTCACCAAAAAATGAAATGGTCATAAACCTTGCTTTCTCTGTGTTTGGATTTCAGCTTTCCAGTATTTTCAAGTACAGCAGTTTCTCATCCCATGCCACTTTACAAAACATTGATAGCCAGCATATCTCACCGATCCAGCCTGTGATGCAATGTGTCAGATTTTATATTTATACCTAAAACAATGATTTATCTTGTAATAATAGCTCAAAAGAAATTAACCCCATCGCATTACGGACACTGCATATTCTTTCAAAGGAGAACTACAGCTGTAGAAGTTCTTCTGCTCTTAATAGTAAAAATGTATAGATATTTTATTATATTCCTATTGAGTTGGAAGTCATGGCACAATCAGTCTAGCACTTTTCCTATCTTACACATTGCATATAATTTTTTTTGTTTAAAGTGGTTTGTTTATTTTTTCAAGGTTGCTGTCAAGAAACACAACAAGAAATCCAGGGAATGGAGAATGTGGAGAAGTCCAAATAAGGGAGGATTACCAGCTGAGAAAGGCTACGTATGTTGGCAGCTTATCTTTACTATAGCATGGGATGCATCTGAGAAAGATTCGTCAGGAGCAGTGGCAACTGGAAAGCTGAGAGATGGACCATAATTATGAAAGTAAGGTATGTAGAAACATTGAGTAATATGGGTATTCCCCTTTGCCTTGGCAGGTCACTAGTGCTGTCGTCACAGTTACAGCTTAGTGAGCAACTTTTACATCACTGTCCCCTCAAGTAACGTCACAGACCCCAATCCACACGGACTATTTTGCTGCCATGTCACATTTATTTAATTGGTTTTCCACTGTCACACCACAGCTGCTTTTGATATTGCCCAATCAACATTTTTCTCACTCAGCAAACATGTTTCGCATTATGTTCTCCCCAGATCAACAGGCATTCATTTTTCTATCAGATGAAACTTTCAGCCCTTAGTCTCAAGTGCTGTGGGCTCCTTTCTCTCAGTTCTTCTCGTTTTCTGGCTGCATAATATTTTTCCAATCAAATATTTCTTCCGGCCTTTATTCAGAAGCTACCACTTGCAAATCACTACGAGATATGTGCAATGAAGTTTAGGTTACTACTAAGTGTCGGAGCTTTCCTTAAGGCTTCTCTTCCCCTTCCCCTACACATAAAGCTTTATGTGTTAATAGTAATCATCATCATTTGTTTATGGTCAAGCGGACGCTGACCTCCACTGGGATTTACAGTCCTTCTTTCAAACAGCCTGTTTTGTTTGGCAGGATGTGCTGTTTTTCTATCTACCCCACTATTGTATGTCTCTGTCAGCACCTACCGACTGCGGGTGAGGGTGGCAACAGGGAAGGGATGGGTGGGAGGCTTGTTTGCCCCCTCCCAGGGCTCAGTTGCCACCTCAGCCTGGCCGTGCAGGTTCCCTTTGGAGACTGTCGAACAACATGTTCGAGCAGATCGTGTCACACGGCTTTGACCTTAGCTGAGGAGGCCACCAATCATTTACTTATGGGAAAATGTCACAGGAGTAACATGGAGGAATTGTGCAACACACAAATACTAGTTTTCAAAGTTAGGTATCTGCAATTTTTTGTTCAGTTTGGGGCCACTTTAGCAGAATCACAAATCAATTGGTCTGCAGCTGGTTTGTATCTAGAAAGACCTTTGCTCATGAATAACTACATGACTGAAAATAACATTGCAGGTCTAATCTACTTACACTCATAAAACCTCAACTTCCGTATGGGTACCCTGGAACCCAAAGGATGAAGCAATTTTGTCAAGTTTTAATGCAGAATCATTTTATATTTACATTATTAAAAGCGGAGTTTAAGGCCAAGAATGTGTATAGCCAGACATTGTTTGGGGGTTTGAAAACATAATTTCATGTTTATTTTTCTGTCTGGAAGGTGGTTGCTAAATCCCAACAATCACCACATCGTCTGGCTGTTGGGCTTTTAATGGTAGCTGTTATTATTGCCAATCTGGATCTTCAATAACTAGATTCAAGTTACAATTAAGAAAAAATAGAGAACACCTAATAGCAAAAAGGAGGTTCTGTGAAAATAAAACCATTAGGATTAGATAACTCCTCATAGATTTGTTTTTGTAGTGTCTTATTTTTGCGATTGGAAGTCTTCTTTCTGAAAAACAGAAGCAACAAATTTACCTTTTATGGTCACTGTAATCTACAATATAGTCCTTCAACTATTCTTTTTTTCTGTGAGCCCAGTCAGAAATTAAATGCTGTACTATTGCAGTCCACCTGCTTTATTTTAACCACAGATTGCAATTTTGCTCTTTTCCTTTACCACTGCTGCACAATCCTCAAAACCATCTCTTCCAGCCCGGGTATGAGAAGGAAATCATGGCTACTTGCTGCTGGGCTTAAGCAGAGCTCTTTAATAGGAAAACTACATTTTACTTAGGAGAATAACATCATGTGGCAGGGCTATGGCAACAATAACACCCCTACTGCCAGAAAACACTTACCCTGGGTGGCTCAGATGGCCCCAAATATTTAAGAGCATTTTTCTTATACTGTAAATTCCCCGAGGTACGTTATTTTCTACTGAGAGCTAATAACTACCCTGTCTGTAAAGCAACTGGTCTTAAGTTTATTAGCTTGCAAGACAGAAAAATAACAGACACATATCACTGACATTTAACAAAGATATCTTTCATGGGTTTCTGTATTTTTTCATATGCACCACACGTTTCTCTTTAGTTAGAAAAACACATTTTGAACCACATTCTGCGTAACTTCTTATGAAGCAAAGCACATTTTCCAAAAAGTCCTCAATGCTTCACCAAATACTGAGTCCCTTTTCAGAAAGTTCTGAAGGTTTTTGCAGAAGAAATAACATGTCAGCTTCCCCAGAGAAAGCTGTTTCACCCTTGCCGCAGCAGCCATAGTATTTACTTTGGCATCACAGAAGAACATCATCCTATTCCCGCACTAAAGTGGAAACGATTGCACAAATGACTTTCAAGTGAAAGTGACTTCTTCAGACAGAATAAATCTCTATTTGCACTTCTTTAAAAGTATAATATTAGTTTATTCCTTTTGAGTAGAGGTGTGGGTCACAAGAAGATTATCCATGTGATCATTGTAGTGTAGAGACACTATATTTTGGTGTTTAAATAGAAGAGCTTTCCTCTAGATGGATATTTCTTGTGGGTAGGTGATGCACACAGAAGGTGGTCTTGTTCTGGAAGGAGTCAATTTTCAGATAATATTTTTAGCCAGAGTGTAGTGAGACTGTAAAGAGATAAAAGCCACCCTCAGCTCCTGTATTTTGGCTAGGCAAACCCGTACACATTGACCTGTGTTCAGTGACACAGAGCACATTATTACTGGTTCGCTCTTACAGTGACTGCCTCCTTTTGAAATAGCAGCAAATTATGTGTGAATTTGCCACGATCACAATAAACAGCAGGTAGAAGGGGAAAAAATGGTGGCATGTTTGGTAAAATTATTTCTATTTTAAACTGGCCTCTACCATTTTTGGAATGTGAATTTTGGTGTGCAAAGAAGAATTTGAAAAATTGCTCCTTCCAAGTGACTCAACTTTTGAGTTGAACCATGTGGAACTTCAAAGGCTGAAGCTGAATGTTGTGAAAGTCCTCCTCGAGGGCCTGGGACTACTGAAGTCATGGCAAAAGTTTTGTTAGCTTAAATGGGAACAGGAACAAGCCTTTTACAACTCTTTTTTAAAGCCCATGAAGATGTCCAAATACCAGTTGTCCTGAAATTCAAAGGAGAACAATAGTTGTACGTCCTGGGATGTCAATATTAACGGCAGTCACTGCAGTCCCAAACTCTCAGTAACAAGAAAAGCAGAGGGACTAATTTTCTTTTTCTGTGACCCAAACACGCACAAGGTCCACCCAAAAGCCTGCCTGGGTGGTACGTTAGAGGACAAGGAGCTGGGATAAAAAAAAACATTAAGAAATGATCCAAGCTTCACGCTAAAGAAAAGGGATTATGTCTAGGCCTAAAAAGAGGGAATGCTGGTGTTTTATAGTTGAACAGTTTCATATGACTTGCAGGGAACATGTATATTTCTCTCTTTATTGGCTCACCTACTAAAGGTGCACAAAGGCGTGATGTTTCATCATCCCAGTGCCAGTGCAGCCTCAGCTGTGAGCTGGTGAAATCTGTGTCTGTATGAGCCACAAGAAGAGCTGGCCTTTGACAGAAAGCTCTCCCTCTTCCTCACCCTCTCCAAAACTTTGTGATGTCAAAATGTTAACTTTTTTTCTGGATGAATGGCTGCTGCTAATTTCAATAGAAATTATTTGGCTACAATACTTGTGGAAAATAGCATAGAACATTGGGAAACGTTTGCAAAATGTGGATAGTACAACCCTGGGTTTTATTTGGACAGCTTCCCAGGCACTGCAGAAATGGAAGCATAATACTTCTACATTTTGAATTTGAAATAAAATGGCTTTTTTAGAGGTATTTCAAAGTACCACATCTATAGTCTAGCATTCAGGGTGCTTAGAAAAATTTGCTTGTCCGTTTCAACCTGCCACTCGGAGCAAAGTTGGCAAACGGCAAAAAAAGCTTCCTAAGATGTAGTGAATATTCATGTGAGAGATGCAAACTAGGATTATACGTAGGATTAACACACTGAAGGTGTACCAGACAGCCTTGTTGGAGGCAGCTTTATAGGATATACATGCCATTTACACATTCTTTAATTGCTGTCAGATAGCACAGCAGATCCAGTATTTCCCTTGTTTTGGACTATTTTCCAACTACATCATATTCAGACTTCAGAGTATCGTGAGTCACAGATTCTGTTTTATCTTAAAATCAGAAAGAACTGTGGTGATATAAACTGTTTTGATGAATAAACACGGCTGCTATTTACAGTCTATACTGTATTTACAGTCTGAGAGAACCCAAGGACCAACATTTACATATTTGCAAATTTCATATAAGGGCAGGTTGAACATTGAAAGTCTACATTCTTTTTCAGTGGAGAGCAATAACAGTGACAAACTGATGGTGCCTGCAAGACAGGGTGGAGATGTGTTCTCAGGTCCGTGTATCTTGTCCCTGCCCACTTTGCAGCAGTCATTTCAGTTAGTGGAAGGATTCTTTCTTTAGAACTGCAGACTTATTTCCATCCAGCTTCTGACTCTAGTGCAGATGCTGACAGGAGGAGAAAAGGAATATTTGGGCATATTATGCCTCAGCCCACCTTTTTTTCCAATTTCCTAAGTATTTCTCTTTTTGTGGTTTTTCATGTGCTTTCAACAATAATTTTGGAGGTCTGTTGATTTAGAATAAAATGTAACTGGTACTATTTCCAGAGTACTGGGAAATTATGGTCCCAATTTTCTTCTGCTGTAGGTAGTCACTAAATTAACACAAAAAGGCTTGCATCCTCTGGCCCAGTCAAGTAGCAGCAAGGTCCACAAAGCTGGGGAGGAGAAAGGGGCAAAAATAGCTTTAAATCTGGGGAGCTTCTTTGAAAGACTGAGTTGTTTAGGATTCAGAATTGATCTGCCTTTCCACCTCCTTGTGCTTGGAGGAAACATTTGTGTGGTTGACTGGAGACAATTTACACATCATGGAGGTAAGCTTGGGGCTTGCAATCAGCCCCTTATCTGTCTACACATACCACTCGTGAGTGATTAATATGTGCTGTATTAATCATGGGTAAACAGTCCTGTGTGTGTGGTTTGCCAAATAGTTCTGCTTTGACTAGTACACATCCTAGGGCAATAAAAAAATAATTCAATACTGCCACTAAATACAATGGTTTTCTGTGACACTTAGAGAATGCAGTTTGTAATTTGAAACCGTTGTACAAATGCCGAGACATGTATTTGTTGAAGGGCTTTCTCATGTCATCTGAAAGACAAGAAAATAGCATGTCTTTGGATGTTCCCCTATTTGTTTTTTTAAATAGTAAGACAGTCCTAAAGTTCAGAACTCTGAACTTAAAAAAAAAATAGTTCATAAATATAATTTTCCTTAGTTTTACTTTTGTTTTTTTCACTTGCTTCATTTATCTTTTTTCAAAAGCATTGATTTCTTATAAAGTGCAAATAATGCTATATGTAGTATATAAACATAAAGATTATGGGCTTGAATTTCAAAATTTTGGAGTTTTAAATATTTATTCAGATTTCTCCCTTTAGCAGAATATATTTTTAATTGTTTTCAATGCTAACATAGAACAAAATCTACCCTTGAAGTTGAGCAATTAACTTCTATTCCTTTTCCACCCTCTGAAAAAACTAAATGAAATTTAAGTGCCTGTAGTTGGTGCACAGTGGTGACTTGCAGGTATTACTTCTTGCTACAAATGATGCAGTCTGGGCAAAAGACATTCAAAGGCAAACTGTTGGTTACATACATTTATGCTGTCCTCAGCCCCTAAAGTGGGCCAAAAATTCACGCAGTGCTGAGTGAATAAACAATATGTGCCATGGAAAAGGGCTTTACATTTGGAAAAAGCAAAAAGCAAACCTTAACATTTTAGGTTTTCCATCTTTCTTTTAATCAGTGTCATTAAGCAGCAAGAATTTATGCATTTAAAAAACACCTTGTCTACTTGTGGGAAATCTCTTTTAAACTATTAGCAGGACATGGAAAATGGTGTGTGCTAAGGAACATAAGATTTACTTTACAGAAACAGATAGCATGTTGCATTTTGTGGCACTGGAAGCATTTTAAACGTATATTTATAGTTGACAGGTTATAAAGGTGCACTCTGCGTTCCCCCAATTTTATTGTTACAGGAAAATAATTATTTTTCCTAAAATTGAAATACTTTAATATCAAGAGACTCCTGCCTTAACTGTTGAAGATGCTTAGGCATATCAATATCTCAGCTGCAGCAGAAAGGTTAATAAAAATATATGGCATAGTTAAAATGAACTCACTTTTTTTTCCCCACAGAACGGTGATATAAATAGCATTATTGCTATACCTGGAATTGCAATATGCACATTCTGTAGGCCTGAAACAATTTGGGACATTTATTTCCCTTCGCTATAGTAGCCTGTAAATGGAGTGACACCATTAATGAAAGGGTCTATAAAAGAGTGCTAATTATGTGACCAGATTGAGTCAAATGGGATGACTTCTCACTTTAATTGAGAACTTCAGTGCTTACCTGACAGCACAAAATAATTAATAATGACAGTGACAATTAATAATTTGGAAATGCACATTATAAATGATACTTCCAGGGTTTTATATGTATGATAGGAATTTATAGCAGGATAAATTGTCTAGGGGAAATTGTTTAGAAGTTTTTATTACATTTTAACTTCACAGATTTCAGGAACAGTAAAGTATATTATGGGAAAAATGCTGCTGACAACGTGATTAATAACTTATGTATAAACTCTTTACCCTCTAGTTAAATTGGTCTCATTTTTCATGTAATTATATTGATACTGGAATATTAAAATTTATTGTTAAAATTATATTTTTAGAACTAAAAATGGAATAAACACTTCATAACCTGTGCTCAAGCTGAAGAGTCATCTGTAAATACTGCTCAAGACAGTTCAGTTTATCATTGATATAAAAGCCAAGTTGTTAATTTGAAAAGAAGAAAAAACATTACCTGTTTTGGGGTTTTATAAGCTTTTTAAATTTCTTTATTATTTGTATTTTGTCTAATGAAAAACCAAGAATAAGTATGAAATATGATAAAGCTTGTATTTTCCATACGATAAACTTTATTTAGAGGTCTTGCATAGGTTGTATATAGATTAATTTATGTCTTAGCTTTTTATGATGATCAGTAAGACCTTTTTGAAAGGTTTAGTACAAAAGCAGAAGACAAGAGCAAACTAAACTTAACGAACCTCTTAACTCCTAGGTTCCCTGTCTCCTACTTCACCAGATCTGTCTCTTCTCATTTAGGTGGCCTTCATCCCAGGAAAACCATCTGTCTCACCAGGGACTTTAAGACTAAGACTTTAATGAGTGCTAACATTAGAAGTGCATGCAGACCTCTCCAACACAAAATAACTGAGGTAAAAGAAATAAATTTCAAAAACTGAGAGTATTTTTTAAGTCAGCAATAAAGACAGTTATTTTTAGGAATATTTTAATACAGGTATTTACAGTGTAAAGTTATTATAAACTTTTAATGAATTATTGGTAAAAGCTGTTTATGTCTTTTCTCATCGAAAGGGTTCTCACAGTAAATGTATATAACTATGTGTATGCAAAGACATTTCAGAGGAATCATAAACTGGATAAAGTCTGTACTAAAGAAATTAGGCTCTTCTTCCTGTCTGATAGTAAAAGATCAAATCCCTTGTGGCTTTGTTTGAACAAATTCATCTGCTCAAATGACTTTGAAAGTGAAAGCTCTTGAAACACAAGAACAACACTATAGACACCACTGAGCTGTTAGACCTTTCCTGATTTACTGCTGGACTAAACTCATTAACTACGGGCTCTGAAATAGTCCCCAGACCAAATTTTACAACTTCCGCTTCACCTTCCGTCTTCAGCTCAGTCTTTGACCCACTGTCCTTGTTAAATCCTTACATGAGTGCTAGCTTAATTTCAGGGGGAATACTGAGGCTTTTCACCTATGGGAGATGGGATGAGTTTTGCATTATTTTATGCTCCACAAAATAACAGTGATACTCTTCTGTCAAGAAACTAATTCATACCTACCATTTAAATAACCTAATTTCTGACATATGAATCCTCTTTTAAAAGCCATAGCACCAGATTCCTTGGCAATTAGTCTTTCTTCCACAGACTGTTTTTTTTTTTTCACACTTTCCTCCACCTACGCTGCCACATCAGTATAAATTAGCGGGATGCTATTCTGTATATGGCACACAGCCTTTTCTCCCCATTGGAACAGTCAAGGTCTAATCACATTTTCATGGAAAGATTGCAGGTTTTATGTCCTTTGAGTCCTAGTCCTAAGCGTTTTGTGCAACTGCTATTGAGAGAACTATTTTACTCAGAATTGTTATTGCTTTAGGGAATTTATTTAATTTTTACTTTTTTTTTTTTTTTTTCAAAAAATGGTAGAATTAATTCTACATGCAAGTGTATTCAATAAGCTGGTCATTTGCTATGCTAGTTATACAATACTTAATTATTCTTAAATCACGAATTGTAAAATGGAACAATGAACATTGTGTGTGAAATAAGATCTTGTCCAAGGTAGAAATTATACGTGGAGCCAGATTTGGAGGTATTTTTCATTCCAGTTCTATACTGTTTCTACACCTACTACATCTCTCCTATCATACACTGGAATGCATTTACTCTGTGTTCTAGACTTGTGTGTGTTTAAAAAAAACAAACAAACAAAAAACCAACTTGGTTCCTCAAGGAATTTACACTCCAAATGAAGCCACCATAGAACATGAAAATAATAAACAAATGGAAGGGTAGGAAATGAAGAACAGGACGTAAAGTAAATAAAAATAAAGAGCCAATACTCCAGCTGCTGGAAATTAGTGCAGTTCTATTGAAGCCTATGCAATTACACTAACTGAGCAATTGGTTCATTATTTTTATTTATTTTACCCTTTGTTCCTTCCCTTCCTTGGAGCTTTGAATTAAATGAACTGAATTGACATCAGCTGAAGAGCAGTTCTAAAGTGCATCCCGTTACGTAGCAAACTCTGGTATCTGTAAGGAGAGGGAAGGGGCAGAGTGGGTAGCGTCTGAGGAGGCCTCTGAGGGAAAGAAGTCACTGTCTGCCTAGACCATAGTTGTATTTGACTGCATACTGTCATTTTTTGTTTGGTTTTTTTTTTTTCCTCCTTTTTTGCCTTTTTCTGCCCAACACAGGTCACCCCAGTGGGGAGTCTCACTGCTGGCTGTGGGTACAGAGGGCTGCAGAACCGAGCCATCAAATGAGGTAGCAGCAGATATGGTGGGGCCATATCCACACTACATAACTGAGTGTTTCCCCCGACCCCTGTGTGTTTTCCAGCCTGTCCTCAACCCTGTCTTCAGTGAACCTGAGAGCTTGAGAACACGGCTCAAATGTGCACTCCCATGCTTGCAGAGTGGGTGGACCAGGTCTGAACCACGCCACCAGGAGATCACCAAGAAGGTAGGGGAGATGCACCCTGAGGTGCATGGCGTGAGATGGCAGCTGAGTAAATCATCACAATAGCAGGGAAATAAAGATAGGAGTATGGCCACAAAGTTACAGTTTGTAATAAATGCAGTTTTTGACTGAGTTTGTTAAAATGGATTTAAAAAAATAGTGTGGCTTTTATTATATGACTATTTAAATTTTAACTAGGAAAGCAAAATATAACCTTTTTGTTAGAGCTTCATGACTAAATTGATGGCTATTTTGAAATTAATTTTCAGTAGAAAAGACCTTTCTTATCCAGATTTTATTTCCTGTAGTTGTTATACAGTAAATCTCTCCTGAATCAATGACTTGATCCATTGCTCATTCAATGTTTAAATATACATGTATAGGCTTGTACATCATTACTCGGAAATACATTGAAAGAACATTAATCTGTGAAGTTCTCTGAAGCAAGGAGTGCTAACAGTAAGTGGATTTGCAGTTCTAATTCATCTGCCTTTTGCATTAAGGTACAGTCTTTAATTACATGTTCACACATACTCTAGGCAGTTTCCTTCTATTTCTTCTCTCTTTTCATTATTCAATGCAAAGCCCTTTCACGTCTTTAAGGCTTGAATTAAATGTGGAATTATACGTTTGCTTTTGGTCTCATTTAGAGCATTCATCAATGTACCAGCTAGGTACCTGGAGAATATGAAGCCATTTACCTCCTTTTGACATACAGGGCTACTATTTCCATCTTACAGAGAGAGAACTTTAAGAGGGTGAGAAAGCTGTTTAAAATTATATCAAGGAGATTTAAACTGGTAAAAATGAAGCTTAGAGGGCAGGGTATCCCAAAATTAAGTACTGATCTTCATTCCCTGGGGGATGAAACATCTTCTATTTGGAGGTGCCTATTTTTTAATGGAAATGAGCAACTTGGGGTGAACAATATGTCATTATGTGCAAATATAACATTTTCACTATGCTTTACTATTAGGGATTTGGCTATGAGGAGTTTTTACATAGATGTTAACCATCTGAGCAGCAAAGCTGCCCTTTATAAAACTCAGTCTCAGAGCATGTGGCTGTTTCTGGGGTCAGTCGTGAGACAGAGGAGCTTGTCACCCTCCTGCCGATGAACACTAGAAATCAAGACTTCCTGACTGAGGTCACAGCCCCCATGAGCTCAGAGCTTTTTTCAAATCCAAATGAAATTTCACAGTACAAGGGAAAGTCACTTTTGTGACCTGTTGGCTCTCTCCATGCTGAATATTAAAAGGATTACTGCAAACAATGGAGGTGTTGGACTTGAAATAATTTTGGATGACGTGAAGAGCAAGGCAACCCAAGACATAAAGGTGTATTTTAACCACTAAGATAGAAAATATGTTACCACCAAATATGTGTTCTACAGTGTGTGTTGTCTTTACTTGATATCAGATGCCTAATTCAAAATGTACTCCACCATCAGGACAAAACCAAGAAAATTAGTTATAATGAAGAATTCAACAAAAGTAGAGCACAATAATTTTCATCACTAGTTTAACTACACAATCTAGTGGTTCTTTTTAATTCTTCAGATATTTAAGTAGGTAACAAACAGATATTGGTTTTAAACATCAAACTCTTAAATTCAAAGAAGAAAGCTGGATCCCCTATTATAGTAATGAAAGTTCTTTGGTGATAATTCTACTCATGTTGAGATATAAATTGTAAACATCCCTCTTTATTAATTCTCTTAAAGATTTTCTATTCCTAATGGTCCTCTCGTGTTACTCATCCTACCATGTTTCTGTCAAAAGATTAGTTTGAAAATCATATCACTGATAACAGGATTCAGTATTTCATTATTCATTCCGAATTCATTGGTAATACAGGTAAAATTATAGTCAGGTACTTTTATTTCCTCCATGAAAAAGCAAAGAGACTTTTAATACACATTCTTCTCCCGTGATGTGACTCTCCTGCAGAGAAAACCTCCAACCTGATTACACATGTGATAATTTAATTTTATATAGCGACAAATAGTAGCTATCATGCGTGATTATCAAGATAACCTACCAGCAGCTAAGAAAAAAAGATTTCCTTAATTCATGAAATGTGTAAACAAAACACTGAGTTTTATTTTGAACATATGGATCCCATTCACATTATTTTCCCATACTGTTGAAAACTTTAATTACATCTGATATGTTCTAATGAGAAAGAAACATATACTCTGGCTGCAAAGCGGGTAGAGCCATGGGTTTTTTACACGTGGCATCAAATAGAGAGGAGACGGGTGCGGTGGTCAAAATCCGAGGCTTCAGTGAGGAATGGAGTGAGAGACAGAGGAAAAAGGAGAGCTAAAGGTCCCAGGAGAGAGCTCAGAGAAGGAAAATGAAAGGTATTATCCAATTATTATTAGTGTATGTGTCCTTTTACTTCAAAGCCCTTTCTGAAGTTAGCAGTGATTTTTCGTGAAGGACTGGTGACTGCGATCAATGACAGTCTCGTGCTTCTGTAGAAGATTTCCTTTCTTAGCAATGGGCTATGACAAAATACCCAGTGGGAAAACGTTTCTGGAGAGCCAAGTGTCAGCTACAATAGTGATCCATTTTCATCCGATGTCAAGATCTGCAACTCTTATTTCTTGCAGCCAAATCGTGGGCTTCCCTAATTGCTAACATGCTTCAGTAGCTGTGCACAGTGCGAAGAACGAAACCGTACCTGTGATCTGAAAGAGATAAAGTGTGAGGAAGCAAACGTATGAAGTAAAACTTTAGGAATTCTAGTAAAACCAGGTGAAAACTAAGAAAAGATGAAATAAGAACTGATATGAAATTGTGCCTAAACCTCAAACAGAACCTGAAAATGCATTTGCTCTCTCTCAAAAACAGAGGTATGGAGAAGAACTCTGTTATTTCCTAATCAAAATTACAAGTAACTGGCAGTCTTCCTGACTCAACCTGGGAAGTGGGAGTCAAAAGTCAGTTCTTTTGTGCAGAGTTATTTAAAAATCTGTGGAGGCTCTGGGTAAGGAATACCTGATTAGCAGCATTTACTGAGCAGCTGCAGAAAAAATGGCACTGCAGGTCTGTTTTCTCCAGCATACATAAAATGCGGACCTCATGTTATACTCAGGTCAGTTGTGTCATACCTGGAGCATCGATCTGACCAGGATCAAACATTGCCCATTGCCTTGTGTCAGCAGGCAAAATAATATTCTGCAAAACTCAATATTAACTCTCATGTGAGACTAAGTTTTTCCTAATTCCCTGACTTGGTACAGGTTGGATCATGTTCTGAGACGTAGAGTTTTCTTTCATAGCTCAAGCAGAATGTGATTTTCCCATTCAATATGATGGTGACTCTTCTTGCTGCCTTATAACTGTCCAATCTTTTATTGAATGCTAATAAATTCTTGGCTTTGATGCTATCTTTCTGCAAAAAATGGCTAGTTATGCACTATATTAAGATGTATTTACTTTTGCCAGTATAGCTACATTATAAGGGCAGCTTAGAAAGTTTTCTCTCCAAAATAGCTTGATTTAAAAAAAAATTATAATAAATTGTTGTTATTGGAATTTCGGTTGGTTTACAATTTGTAAGAAAATAGCTAAGAAAAAAGTTATGGAAACACATAGGGGAACTGCTTAGGAAATTCTATACTGTGAACCATATTTTTAATATATAAATCTCACAGCACAGAAAAAAATGGATTTACCAGTAGGTGTTGATATTTGAATCTCCAATTCTAGTTTGTTTCTCTGTCCATCTCTGCCTGGGGCTCATGCTGCCCCTGGGGCTTGATTTGTGAACTGTGTAACTTCCCGGGACAGGGATTAGAAGAGCAATGGTGTATAGGCTTTAATTACCTCCCTCCAACTTATGAGGAACAATTTAGTTAAACTTTCTGTTGTTTCATCTCAGAGCAGATCAGTATAGGAGAAATATCTACTCTTTTTGGCCCCCTCCTTACCTTTTCTGTCAACGTGGTGAGATGTAGCTGTCTCTGCAATGAAACATAGCAGTTACATAGGAAAGGAAGATATCATTTGTATGCAATATAAAGTTCAAGTTATTAAAATTATGTTATAGCCTTCAAAAAAAGTGAATGTATTATTGAATAGTTTTCCTATATTTTTAAGAACGAGACCTCTTGTAATTGTCCTTGAGAATATTAAGCTGAGGCATTATTTTTATAGTTAAGTGGCAAAACCCAATTAATTGATTTTTAACTTGGAGCTCTGATATTCCTAAGGGCACTTGCCTAACTTGCAGTTAGTTTAATGCAAATGATAAATGTATATTGCTTTTAAAGTCAAAATTATTTTTCATGTAATAATGAAGAATAATATAGCTTTCTCCAACTGGTACAGTTACATGGATAAATTATTGAAAAGAGAAAAACATACTTCTTAATATCTGCCTGTCTTGTACTCTAAACTCTAAATTCCCTTAAATGCTCAAATGCACTTACCAAAGTGAACTTCCTAACACAGGCAGCTTTTGTTATCATCATCACATTGATGAGAAAACTGTAGAATGAGCTGAGTCTTGAGGGAAATTGTCTATGTGACAGAAATTATGGTTTCTATGGTGCAAAGAAAGTACATTAAAATACAACATGTCTCCTGAGAAAAGGCTTCTATTGCTGTAGCTGGTTGCATGAAGCAACAAAAAGTTTGGGTAATTTCAGAGTTGTATTTTTTATATTAATGGCCTTTGGCAGCAACACGTGCTCCAAAAAATTTTATACAAGGTAAAGTTTGGCTGGTGAGTTCTGCCTTTCTGTCTGATGTGAACCTATTTATCCAATGGATTAATTATTTATGGTCTGGCCTTTCTATAAAACTACTGTTGTATTTCTATTTACTGGTTTTAAAACACTGTCTATGTGGGTGGGCAAAATGATATTGCAGCACTTGCCTCCCGTGCCAGCTGGCCACCTAAATGTCTGACTGTGTGTGTGTTCAACTTTGTTCAGTTGCCACATGACACGAAGCAGGGCTGTGAC